TATTAATTAAAGATTTCAATATGAAAATACTGTCAGCAGTTCTGTGGTTTTCTCTGAAGCCAAATTGACAGTTATTGAGCTGTTTATCCACAACTTTGATTAGTCTATTATTGAGTACAGCATTGAATATTTTAGGTAGATTACTGATTAAAGATATACCTCTGTAATTATTGGGGTCAAATTTGTCCCCCTTCTTATGAAGTGCGATTATATACGAGTCCTTCCATGAATTTGCATATATACCCGTTTTTAGAATTAATTTAAATATTTTAACAAGTGACTTGATTATCACTTGATTTGAAGTTTTAATTATTTCATTTATAATTCTATCTGGTCCAGCAGACTTTTGTAGTTTAAGTCCACTGATTACCTTTTTTTACTTCTGAACAAGATATTGGAGCATCTGTTTCAGCTTTGAAGTCTATATTGTTTTCTAACAGCTTCAATTGTGATTCAATGTCATTCATTAAAGCATTATTTATAGATGAAGGTTTACCTTGATCTTGAAAATGTTTCATTAAAACTTCTTCATCTTTTAATACCTCTGGTATTTCATCTTTTTCTGTTTTATTCTTAAGTGATTTTAAAATGTTCCAATATTCCTTTGGATTTTGAATGATATATTCGCTTAAACAATTATAAAGTTTTTGTTTATATTCATATTTTTTCTGTTTAACCATTTTCCTCATGTTTTGTTTTTTTGCTTTAAACTATTATTATTTGGATTATTCCTAATTTTGTTTCCTATTTTATTTATTTAGTGCTTGGTTTCATATATAACATTGTCTGACCAAGCTTGTTAAAATTTCTTCTTCTTCTTCCTCTTAGTTTTTGGAATTACTACAAGAAAGGCTTGAAATATTATCTAAAATTTTTGTCGATTTTTCTGTAGCCTCATCAACACCAACCTGATTTTCCTCATAATTAACCATTTCAAACTCTATTATTTCATTCTTTACACTTTCGGTCAATAAAGCATCAATAAGTTTAAGTTTAAAATTTTCTGTCCATTTATATGATTTAATCCAGTGCCATCCTTTTTCCTCAAGGCCAATTTCTTTGTCTATATTTATATTGCACTTCATATATAATGTTATTTGAACATGCTCTGATAGGTAAGTAAAATCGTTTGTCTTAAAATATTTGACTGAGGACAGGAGACTATATTATAGGCTTAGAAAATCTGACTGGCGAAAGTGGTCAGCATATCAATTATCTGGACGACTCCTTCATAAACGAATTTGTTTAATTTTAGCGTTTTTGCTAATTGACCTAAAAACTGTAAAGATATGTATATATTCCGGACCATATGAGTATTTGGAATATACGCGTATGGTCATGACCATATGCGTATATTCATATGGTCCGACCATATAATCGTTTGGTTATTTACGGGCAGGACCATATGCGTATTTAGACCATAAAGCTCATTCTCTGAACAAAAGCCGGCACAAATTACTATCTGAATTCTTTTATCTTAAACATATTGTCTGAATCTTGGTGTATCTGTTATCTTGCATTCGCTTGGAGTCAATTCAAATCGCTTTTATACTGCCGATATTCGTCCGTAAGTGAAACCACATGCGTTAAGGGAATAAATCTTTTTTTCTGTTTTCTTAGTGTTTAAATTATTATGTCAGAAACAAAATTTCTTCTTATTTTCATTAAATTGATGTGTTCTTGCTCCTATTTATACGATTTTACTGTCATTGTAAGGTCGTATGCATAGGAGCAATAACACATGAACAAATTAACTAAAAACAAAAAGAAAGTTTTAAGAAATTATAATTTAATAAAAACAAATTTAAGCACCAAAAGAAAATTTAAAAAAATAAAAGAACGAGGGTTCAATGACCAAAGTGCCTTTGAGTTAAGCAATTACCTATTGTTTAACAGTTCATTTAGATATTTCTTGAAGTAATTTTCCAAAGTCGGCAGATTGCGTTTCGTAAGAACCAATCGATAATGACCATGTAAAAATCATTTTACTATATTTCTTACTTGTAAGTAATATTCACTTTATCAAAGATTGAATAAGTCAAAATTTCATTTTTAGAAACTCTTAATTTATGTAACACATTTTCAACATTCATCGTATTAATTACCCTGACCATACGCAAATGGTCGGACCATATGGATATATATACGCAGATGGTCATGACCATACGCGTATGGTCTAAATACTCATATGGTCCGGAGCTTATATATATATATATGCAGAAACCGTAAATAGCAAAATGATCACAAATACAAATTCTACTCTGAAATTCTACAAAACTGTTAATAAACTAAAACCATAATTTGTTTATATATATGTATTTATACAATTTATATTTATAGTGTAATTTTGATTTACTAGCACTGTATCGATACTACTGCTGTTGGTTGGACTATTAGTTCACGAGGGCATCATCATTATGTGCTTCGGTACTGACATGATTTATAACCTACCATTCTAAATTTCTCCGTTGATGAATTTAGAAATTATTATAAGTAAACAATTTATCTCAGGCAAATCTGACCCCAGTGGCTGTTCTTTTCATGTCCTTTTGTTCATTTCGCTGCTTACGTATTCAGGTATTTATATACATCCTTGGCTTTCAAATGTTTGAAATTAAGCGGTCCTTGCCAATGTATAGCTATTTCCATCGATTCCTTATTGGAGATATTACCGTTGGTTGACGATGTTTTCCCATTTTCAGCACTTTGTCCATATAATATATAAATGTAGACAAAATGCGCATCTGCCGTTCTAAATCATACGAGTTTTTTACTGTTTCATATGGAGTAAGTATCAATTTGAATCGGTTATAACACTTCCCGCTATTATCATAATAAGGGAAAATCTTATACCAGTTATACAAATAATATCTTGAACAAACATTACAGATATACAAGACAGATGAAATTGTCAAAAGCAAATATGACCAGCAATACAAGATCTACAATTACGTAACATAAGTCGAACGAAATATAAACTACCAAATTAAAGTTCAAGGTATTGTCCGTAAATGATAATGACCAAATATTTGTATTTTATTTTAAAGATATTCACCTCGGAAACAACGGAACCAGTTTAAACTGAACTTGACCTGAATGTTCTTTATTGTGTTGAAATTTAATATATAATTTGTGAATTATATTGAGTTCTTTCAATCAACAATACTGCTTTTAACGAAGTTATAACTTAAGATCAAAATACAAATAATTACTTATAACATGAAAATTAAAGTAAATGATATACCGAAAGTCAAGTTTTTTGGAGGGCTAGAAATTCAAATACACCAACTGTCAGACTCTTCCTTAACGAATTTATTGCCCTTTTATAATGATGATTTAATACATTGTAATTAGTTTTTTTTTAGTCTTTTTTATGCAAATTAATATTATGGATTTTTTTTTATTGGATTAGACATTCAGGCTTATTAGAGCCTCTAATGCAGAGAAAGAATCTGATAATTATTTAAAAGCAAATCCCTCATTTACATCTAAATTTGCAGTAAGATGAACAGTAGTAGCCGATGGATTAACAAAATTTCTTCCAGTATTGTTTTAAAAAAATTAAATGACGTTATTCTGATAAAATAACTTTGTTTGAATAATTGTTGATAAATGGGAAAATATTTTTTATTCTTCAGTCATTGATACTAAAAAGTTATTGGAAACAAAGGAAGATCTTGGGAGCAGTCAGAAATATCTATGCGAGTTACTTTGGTGCTGACAGCATAATGAACGGAAGTGCACTTAATTCAGCAGCAGCTATGGAAATGGAGTTTGCTAATCCTGAAAAAGAAAAATTAAACGAAAGTTACAATGGTCCATCTGCAAAATTTCAACTTGGCATTAGGTATCACGAAAAGTTTGACCAATCTGATACAGGTATAACTGCAGTCCCTCTTTTAGAATCCCATAAGATTTTGGTTCAAAAAGAAAATGTAATGACAGCTTCTTCCACAGTTATTAAAGAAGCTATCACACATGATTGTTTTAATAATAACAGGATCTCGACTGGGAAATTTGACATTTCCGAAGATGGACATTTAAGAAGTCCTTTAAATCCTTCTCATGTTAAAATACACAAAAAAAAATCAAACAAGGAAAATGTTAACAATATAAACATTTCACCGCTAGCTGAACTCGGAGCAGTATTGAAAGAAGAACATTTCAACAAAAACTTTCCAATCCAACAAGTAAAAGCTAAACAAGACATTAATGAAGAGGTAATTATAAACGAACCCAATAATACCCATTATGGAAAACGTGGAGGAGATTCTGTTGGTAAAGAAAACAAGCCAAGATCTAGTATCTCCTTTTCAAATAACGTTACAGAATATAAAACGGATGTGAAACAATCAAATATCTGTGGAAATTTCAATGATGATGTCCACAAGGAAGAAGACATGAAAAAGCCTACTTTAAAATCTTTTATGAAAATTCAAACATATACTTCAGATAAGCAACCTAATAATGCTTCGATTACAAGCTGTGAAATAGACATTTTAACAAAGGTTGACGTAACTGAAACTGAAATACCTACCAATTGTACAGACTTCAAAGATAACAAGTTTGTTAAAGATGATTTGGACAAACCCAATGGAATCGCATCACTACAGCACGTGATTAGATGTGACCTCTGTGGATTAGAAATTACTGATAGTATTAAGTTCAAATCTCACATGAGAATACACTTACGAAAGAAATCGTTTACTTGTGACACATGCGGTAAAAAGTTTAATAGCTTATATTATTTAAAGACCCACATGAGATTTCATACTGGTGATAAGCTGAGCAGCTGTCATGTTTGTAGTAAAGATTTCATATCTAAGAAAGATCTTCATATACATATGAGAATACACAATGGGGAGAAACCATACATTTGTGGTACATGCTCTGAAAGTTTTAGCTATGCACAAAGTTTGTCAATCCACATGAGAACTCATACAGGAGAGAGACCGTATAGCTGCAATATATGTACTAAAAGATTTACAAATCATGGGGACATGAGGAAACACATGAGAAAACATGATGGAAAAATCGAGAAGACACACAGCTGTACAATATGTAGTCAGAGCTTCAAATCTCCGGGTGAATTAGAAGTTCACAACAGAAAACATACTGGTGAGCTCCCTTACACATGTGAGGTTTGTGGGAAAGGATTTAGAGGATTCAATAATCTATCGCTTCATATGAAAATACATACTGGAGAAAAACCGTTTGATTGTAAAATATGTGGTAAAAATTTCGTAACGAAGACACACCTGAATGGTCACATTAGAAGACATGACCAAAGACCAAACTGTTGCACAGTATGTAAGAAAATGTTCAAACTGCCGGATGGTTTGGCTACACACATGAAAATACATACGGATGAAAAACCATATATTTGTGTAACATGTAATGAGACTTTTGGAGACAAAAAAGAACTCAAAAAACATACACGAGGTCATAGAGAAAGATCGAAGCCGAAACAATTTACATGTCGTATATGTAATAAAACATTAAGGCGTAGTAGCCTGACAACCCATATGAGAGTACACACTAATGAGAAACCCTTCATCTGTAAAATATGCGGGAAAGGATTTAAACAGGTTAGTAATCTTAAAACTCATATGAAAATGCATACCGGCGAAAAATCACACAAATGTGATATATGTGGCGAGAGTTTTCGATTTCCAAGTATCCTTTTGAACCATATACGAGTACATACAGGTGAAACACCTTACACGTGTATTACATGTGGTAAAGGATTTACTTCAAAACAACGTTTGAATTCCCACATAGAAATACACACAGATATAAAGCTTTTCAAGTGTGACATTTGTGGTAAAACCTTAAGACGGAGCCACCATTTTGATAGTCACAAGAGAACCCATACTGGCGAAAAACCGTTTAAATGTGAAGAATGTGGTAAATGTTTTAGTGAGAACGGTGCACTGAAAGGACACATGAGAACACATACAGGTGAATTACCATACGAATGTGAAATATGTAATAAAAAGTTTGCCTATCTTAGCAATTTACAAAGGCACGTCAAGAAAACACACTATGGCGAAAAGCCAAGATGTTGTATTACCTGCGGAAAAAGGTTTGGAGATAACGCCCAGTTAAAAGTTCACTTGAGAACACATAGTAAAGAGATATTTAGCTGCAAAACATGTGGTAAACTTTTAAAGGACGAACGTTCAGTAAAAAGACATATCTTAATGCATTCTGGAAATAAGCCTAACAGGTGCGATGTATGCAATAAAACATTCTTTACAGGAAATGAATTGAAACAACACCTTAACGTACACACTGGTGAAAAACCATACAGTTGTCCTCATTGCATCGGACGTGATTACATTTCAAAACAACGCTTTAATGAACACATAAGAAAGCATGCCATTAACAAGGATCTATCTTAAAATTGTGAATGGTTTTCTTTGCCATATTAGAAAAAAAGTATGTTTTTGAAAACATGCACTGATCCTGAAATTGTTTTAAATTTCCACAATGTATGTACACATGTACAAAGAATTTCGGCAAACATATTACTAGTATATTATTTATAAAACAACACCTCTTAAAGGATATGCACGAGAATGGGTTGTACAATTCTGAACTATCTTTGACAGAAAGATAACTAAAATGTAACTTCTTAATTTTGAAAAATGAAAATGAATACATACATGAACCAGGAACAGTCGATATATAAACATTTAAAATGACACTGCTTTGCAAACCACGAACACTTATAAATACTATTTATACTACTTATGGTTCAAAAATTGTCTATCAGATAAATTCGTTTCATTAAGAAAGGCAACACGTCTCGTGAGATTTTCTGACAGTTTTGCTTTGAAATTTGATTTTATTTTGCTCTCAGTGATTTTGATTTACTATTTCCTGAAAATGTTTTCTTCTGATAATGCTTTGTGTCTTTCTAAATCTTCAGATCATATTACTAGCAATTTTTTCCATCACCACTTGACTACAGTTATAAATTGAACCTAAAGTGTGCTCTAATTTTTCCAAATGATAAAAAAGATTGTAAGGTAAATTTGTCCTTCTGACAGGTGTCATCCGATATTGACTACAACATGGATAATTGATAATGTTAAGTTTATCTTTAACTGTTGTAAAAAAAAAAATAACTTAAAAATAATTATTTTCAGTAAAGTCGGTAATACATTTTAGCGTATATACCCTTCGTACGTTTTTAATGAATCCATAAAGCCTTTAATGAAACCAAGTTTCGGTAATGAAAAACGATTTTCATGAAATAATGTTTGATTTTTTGATTTTTTAATGTTAAGATTTGTTATCTATTTAATTTTGTTTAACGTTTTGGTTAATTAGTTGTTTTAATTGTTTCATTAGAATAAAATATATGTTTTTCTTTTTGAAGTTACTTGCCATATACATCACATTAATGTAAAAAGGAGAACACGCTGCTGGTTTTTTTTGGTTTCTATCAAATTGATAACCAAATCATGTCTGACCGAATATGACATTGTTGAATAAACTCATCATAGATACCAGGATTAAAATTTTCTATGCCAAACACTCGTTTCGTCTAGAAAAACTCATCAATGACCCTCGAATAAAAAAGTGAAATGAGACAACACCTAACTTGCTTAAAAATGTCTTATGCCAATATGCTAATGTTTTTTTTGGTATAAAACATGATTTGTTTATTATCTGTAATTGGCGTTGAACAAGGATAAGATGCGAGTACTCTTTAGATCGGCACTTTGTGTTTCACCTTTATGTTGATTGTACTTTTTGCCACTCGGATCTAGCTTCGTTCAACTGATTTTTACCGTGTGTTCGTATGATGTTCTGTTACACCACTGTCCAAGGTTAAAGGGGTGATCGTTGAACCCTCGCAAATAAGTTTAGTTCCGCCATATTCTATATGTACCTGTCCCAACTCTTAGAAAACATACAATTACGTGGTAGTCGTTGGTTGCTGTCTGTCATATTTGTTCTTCATCTATTGTGATATCGAAAATCATTTTTTTCTTTGGAATCGTTTACATTTCGTCATGGCCGGACCTTTTATCGCTTACTATACCGTTTGGGTTTCAGTGGCTGATCCATAAATTTTCATAAAGGGGGGGTGGGGGGAGGCACTGACTGCAGTAAGAGGGGCCCGTTCCAGTCATGCTTCAGTGGTCCCTAAACAATAAACCAAATTTTTTCCACAAAAGGTCCTGCCCCCACACCCCTAAATCTGCCTCTGGGTTTTGCTGTTTGACAATCATATTACATCTAATTCTTATTATGATAGGGAGATAATCATTTTTTGGGAAAAGCCTTGGCTCATATCTAATTTTGAGTAAAATGTAATCTTATGTCAAATATTTCAATTTCAGCATAGTCAATACGTCACAGTGACATCAAAACTGATACTTTTGAATACAGGTGTAGTTATTTATTTATCAATAAAACTAACATACTTTTGAAAGATTGTATTAATTGGACAATAGTTGCAATCTCATAAGACAACTAATGGTTTCTATCATACTTTCTTCTTTAGTTCCTTTGAAGCGCTTTCTGAATTTACCTTCATTGGAAATGCCATCAAAATGGAAGACGTCATTAAAACAAGTATAATTAATGGTCATCTGAAACTTCCAGCAGGTGCTAGAGAGATAGAACGATGAGAACCAAATGCACAACACATGTAGAAGCATCCAAGACCAAGGCTCTCCTGGACAACCCAAATCAAAATAGATTAATGTCATCTGTGCATCGAAAAATATCAACCGTAGTTTTAGTTCAAAAAGATTATTTATAAAATTAATACTTACAGTAAAAATGTATCATTATAAACGTGACAGTTCCAAACCATTAGCTACATGGTGGAGGACTGACAGTTAATTAGTATATGATTGACCCAGTAGTATTGAAAAGAATGCCACAATAGAGTTTCAGGAAAATAATTATCAGACAGCTAAAGACAAAAAAAAAAAAAAAAAAAAAAATGACTGATCAATATTTATAAAACAAGAAAACGGAATTGAACTTATGTACTCCGGATGGGTAAGTAGTTGCTAAGAGATTTACGAGACCACACAATTTGAAAATCAAAAACTTAATGTAAACGTTGAAAAGCTAATAAAACAAGAAAGAACCAAACGTTTAACCAAACCTGGACAATGAATCAGAGCTTTACACGAGGGTATATATTTCTTAAACTAAAATGATTTGCTAAATTTTATTGCAAAATTTCATAATAAAAAAAACGGAACATCGCTGTGGCCATCTGATACAGATATTCAATAACTACCAAGCAAACGAAATTGGTGTTCGTAAAAAGTTAGAATCTTATAAAACGTTGAAAAATAATTCCATAGCATCAAATTCAAGATAAGAAAATGAAAAGAGAGGTCTTATTTTGAATGAAATAAGATGAAGAAAACCAAAGAAGATAAGAATATCAAACACTAATCCAGATAGAAATTCGGATATCTTTAATAACATTGAACATTTAAATATCGATCAGAGGGCCCCGGAATTTTGCGTTTCGCTTGTCAATCAAAGCGAAGATAGATTGATTTGTAATAGATTTCTTATTTAAAAGTTATCAACAGTCCCCAAGAAAAGATAAGACAAAAACATTGATTGAACATATGAGGTAACGGTAAAAAAAACAACTTTACAATTAAGTTTTTATCGCGCTTCTGCTCTACAGAAGACATCTATATTTGAAATTGGTCACTAATTACATGATTATATCAATGTTTAAAAATGATTTTGTCGACTTTTAACACTAAACGATATACGAAGACAAAAATATAGCTAAAGGTGATGTTGAATAATCAGAAAAGAGACACCAACCAAGCGATGAATCTCCAGGTCTCTAATAATCGCCTATTCGATACGTGAAGCTCTAAATGGTATCTTATGTGACAGGTTTCAATGAATACAAAAGAGACAACATGGGCACTGCAATCAAAACCATTTTCCAAAATGGCTAATAAACTTATATATACTGTTACAACGACGATCGCTGCCGACTGTTGTTTCCGCTGAATAGATAGGAACATTACCATGTCGCGGGGTTAAATTAGATTTTTACGAATATTGAATATCCTTATTATATGATATAAAAATAAGAAGATGTGGTATGATTGCCAATTAGATAACTCTCCACAAGATAACCTGTTCTACACAGAAATATTGAAAAACATACCCGGTTCTAGACACGCTCAGAAAATGTATACCCTGTTTTAGACACTAAATACTTAGTTTAAAAAAAGACCCTGTTCTCACCAGCAGGGCATGAAAAAGCGACCTTGTTCTAACCAGCAGGACATGAAAAAGGGGCCGTATTCTAACGAGCAGGACATGAAAAAGCGACCCTATTTTGCGGCACACACGTATACTAAAAATATAGGAAGTAACCTAACCCCCCCACCGGGCTCCACATATGAATTTCCAAAGTCAGGGACCTCTTCAGTGTTTGTCTTTAGTCACATCTCAATGGTGGTCACACTTTGAAATTAGCTATTGGTTGCAGATGTTTTACAGTCTCTTTTGATTTTATTTAGTAGTTTTCTGTCATTAAATTTATGACAGGACTAACGGGTATAGAGGTATTCCCGTAACAGTGTGGACAACCGTAGAACTTTTATTGTTAAAAATACTGAATCATTTACCTTTAACTACTTGTTTGTCATAGGCTCTCGATAACAATGATTTTACGCTCACTCAGTCTGCCTTCCAGTGGGGATTTAAACAATCAATTGTTACACATTTCGATACATAAAATGAAACCCTTTTCCCAAAACTTTTAAAGGAATTTGTTTGAAATATTCTTTATATCAGCACGCACAACAGTTTCATTTTAGAGAATAATAAATGTTCAGAGCTTATAGTTATCAAAGGTACCAGGATTATAATTTGATACGCCAGACGCGCGTTTCGTCTACATAAGACTCATCAGTGATATCATTAAATAATCGAAAAATAAATTTACACATTTGGATTTTCATTGTAAAAACTTTGAGTCGATGGGGTTAATTCACAAAATATCTTAAGAGAAAAAATACTCCCACGTTGTGATAATTTAAGAGTAACCTACCATTTATTCAATGCTTGGGATTTATTTGTGAAAAGAGTTCCGGACGATGAAAAAAAATCTTTTCTTTTAATGGATATTGTTTACGTTTGAATCATTCACTTTTGCCTTGTATATTCCAGTACTGCACAACTCAATTGCCTCTATTTATGTATATATATCTATATGTATATTTAATTAATTAAAAGACGTTTGTGTTTGTATAATGCTTTTATGTAAATGGGAAACTTACGCGTGTGTGTGATCCATTTTGTCTCTTTGACCATAGACTAAATTGCAGTACTCGTCGATATATCATTCTTGTATCTCACGAATTTGGGTCTTTTACTTACAAAACTTATTTTCTTGTAACGTATTTTGTTGTTGAAGAATGAATGTTGCCTGTTTTTTAATTTTTTTGTCGTTTGTTTGTGTCTCATTGACATACAACCGGACCCCCTTTTCTTCATATTTAAAAACCTACGAGATGACATCAATACCAATTCATGACACAAAATAACTGAGTTAAACTAATAGCAGAAGAAAGAAAAAG